AGAGAGAGAGAGAGAGAGAGAGAGAGAGAGAGAGAGTCAGTGAGCAGGTGAAACAGGGAGAGGAGGAGGGAATTGGTAGAAAGCGCAAGAGAACAGCGGTAAACAAGTTCCGACTGTGTGAGCGCTCCCGAGTAATTACGCGTGAATAATTAAATCTCAACCGCGCTTAAACGAAACAAGAGTTGAAGTACTGGGACAACGCTTGAAGTATCCTAGTTAGAGATCTCTCCTACGTAACAACGAAAACCAAATTTTCAGGATGAGGGAGAGGGATATCAACTGCCGAGTTGGTTTATTTGTAAATTACTATTTGTTTTTCTCATTTTCTAAATAGCTTTTCATTGCAGAAGAATGAAAAATGTATTGATTGACAACAGTATTTTCATTCTCATCGGTACGAAATGTCAGAGAAGAATGTGCGAGTCATACCTTGAGTGCTATTTAACATTATTTTGTATTATCATTATGTAAGATGAGCGTGACGAATTTTCCTTACCGTAAATAAGGTTATAATGGGTAATTTTTCTATACTAATTGCGACTATTGTGTTATTATTTGTTACTATTATGGATTATTATTGTACAGTGAACAGACAGAAACTGTTTGTAAGTGTGCTGGAAGAGTCTCTTTTGTATATTTGCGTGTAAGAAGGAAAAACTGCCACGGGATAATATTTATTTTTCATTAGTTTATTTATTAAGTATTGTCACGTACAGAGTCAACGGCCGATTAACGCTTGTTTCAGTGGCTAAAAACCCTCCATTTTAGAGTCTCCTCCCACCCCTCCATCTCCACCCTCCTACCACATACATTTTTTCTTCGTCCTGACAATATCATCAGTTTGTTATTATTCGCGTGTAAAAAATAGATCATCTCACTGAAATGATAATAAAAAAACGAAAAATGAATGATGAAACGATTTCCCATGTAAGATTCACCTGATGTTCATGTATATAAGAATATGTATATTGTATAATGGGTGGTTCGTGATAAAAATCGTCAATGTTAAAAGTACAACTGTGTGTCGCATGAGGAAACATGGAGGGGATCGATATAGTTTTACGTGCACGAAGACACAAGGGTTGAACCTAAACGAAAGAGGTAGCGTGCGAGTGCGAAATATTAACGATAAATTGGCCAACGCCCCCACCTCTTCACCATTCTTTCCTCCCGTGTCATCCAGAATTTTTCAACGGAAAAAAAGAAATAAAACAATTTTTTTGCTCTTTTTTTATAGCTCCGGGACAGTTGGTCAATTGTCTGTGTACGAGCGAATAATTTCTACCGATCGAGTTTTTACGTTTCTGTGGACAAAATTTATCGTCCATCATTTCCTGCCTCTTTTTTAATATTTTCTTTTTCATCGATTTTACTTTCTTTGTTTTTCGTAAAAACATTTTTTTTTGCAATTCTCTTTTTCGCACTCGCACTGCCCTTCCAACGGTATGGAAGGCTAATTGGTGTGTGTGTAGGGTTGGAACTGTACGCTTCTCCATTGCTCCAAAAGTGGATTCGAGTAGGCTCAAATCCACAAGGGGACTACTCTCATCCAGTGACAACGAGAGTAAAATAAAAGAAAGTATTGCGTAGACGTCTGTGAACCTCGATTAGAGAAATTCTGGGATTGCAATAGATTCTTTCAATTTATTCCCGTTACCAACTACATTTTTCACGTCCTTTTTTGTGTTATAAATCCTTATTTTTAATTACTTTTGCTCTTGTTTCTTTTCAAGACTGTGAATATTGCAGATTTTATTGCGATTTTTTATGGGAAAATAATTCCATATGTAATTGTACATAAATTGTATGTGTACAGTTACGTATCAATATGGAAAAAAAATATTACAATAATAATTTATATTATATACGGTCAGTCAGAAATGAGATAATCCACAAGCCAAAGAAGTGGAGCTAGTAAAGTCTATCGATGATGAACAAAAAACAAAAAAAATATTATGATAATATAAATGCAAAGAGAACAGAACAAGAAATCCTCGCTAGTTGTAACTCGAGTGGTTGTAAATGCGTCGTTGATTTAAGAATTATCGTAAGAGAATTTCATCATAAAATTGAGAGTATTTCAATAAGAGATTAAAGAAAAGCAATCAATACATGAATTATTTATTGTTTAATTAATAAAAAAATGAAAATTTGTTTTGTAAAGGACCATGTTTCCTTCGAAGAATGTGAAATGAAGATATTCAGTGTATAAAAAACACTTAAAAGAAAAAATAAAAGAAAACTATGAATTTGAAAATCTCTATAACAAATTATTTAAATCCTTTCAATTCCAAAGTGAGATTTTTTGACCACTGAAATAATCCACTCAGAATTTAAGGAAGACTACTATGAGTTTTAAAAGTCGCGGGCTATTGGAATGAGATTTTTCATACAATAAAAATCGATTATATGTGTCTAAAAACGAATAATTAGTGCAGAAAAAAAAATTGTTTATTGTTCGTTTGCCCCGCAAACGCTTCAAATGTTGAAAACAGTCCAAGGCCTCCAATTTTTGAGCTACAGAGGTTTTTTTCTAAATTTTTGAAAAAATGTGTGCAATAACAATTACGAATTAGTTTTTTGGAATTCAACGTCTACACAGCTAATTTGGTCATTTTCTTATAAAAAATTACACCATTCATGTAAAATAGCCGGAATAATATTTCTGAAAGAATCAAAAATATATTTTAAGTATTTTAATCATAATTTTTCTGCCTATTCTACATGAATGGCGCAAATTTTTTATATTAAACAAATTTTTGATATTAAACAACATTATTATTGTACACATTTTTTTAAAAATTTTGAAAAAACCTCTGTAGCTCAAAATTTGGAGGCCTTGAACTTCTTTCAACATTTTAAGCGTCTGCGGGATGAACGAACAATAAACAATTAATTTTTCTGCACTAATTATTCGTTTTTAGACATATATAAACGATTTTCGATGCATGAGAAATGTCACTCCAATAGCCGGCGACTTTTAAAACTCATAATAGTTTCCCTTTAACATTCAAGTAATAGACATAAACTGCCTTAGGCGGTCTTCAGCACTTTTGCAACTATTAATTCATTAATGGAAATAAAAAGAAAGATTTTTTTCCCCATCACGGGGTTCTTTATTGATCTGATAGATTGAACATAATGAAAAAGAGCAATGCGCTTCAGTATATGTCCATCAGCACAACATGACGTGCCTCCAATTATCCACAATTTCCTTTTTCATAAATAAGATATCCAGGAAACCAAATTTGTTCACGGTAATGAAAAAAAAATCACAATCAAACTTTAACAACCCGCACCATGACCTCTCCACCCTCCGATTCCTAAAGCACAAGGTGTAATCGTAAAAGGAGAAATCCAGCTAGAGGCTGAGATAAGAGAAACTGCAATTTTTCCTCCGTGAAAAATTACCACCCTCTGGCTCTAGTCCCCTCTCTTTGCGGCTCGCTCTCGAGCTTTTCCTCCTGCCCTCAGTCACAATGAGACTGCTCCATCTTACACTTCACCTTCTTTTTGAGCAATACACTTGACATTAAAGCTTCCTTTTTGCTTCTCCCTTCTTCCCCTCGAGTAGAGCCTGTTTTTCAGTGATGTTCCACAGTGAAGAATATCTGTTAGTCAAATCACAACGGGGATTAATTCTGTTTCCATGGTCCATAAGGAATACATCCTCTACCAATTATCCTGTCATACCACTGGGTAACTTTATCTCGGGAAATATTTAAGCATGACTCAGCCAAGAAGAAGACAAATTAAATCCTGCGGAATGCCACCACGGGGTAATATAAATGAGTTAACATTTGTATGAGGATAAAAGTAGGGCGAGAGGGAAAGAGTGAGTTTTTAATCAGAGGATTTCGTTGTAATTTGATCGCACTGGGGTTGATTTCAAGTGGGTGGAGGAAATCCTCCAAAAAATGAGCAAATTAATAATACGAAGGACAGAAGACATCAGACAATTGGGGAGATGAATAATTGAACACTTCAATTACACTCTAGGTAATATTGATCTCTTGATAGTTGCTGCAATCGGCGTTTGAATATCATAAATTAATTCTATTTCCGGTGCAGTCGTCAATTTAATACCTTTTTGAAATTCAATTTTGTCTCATAATAGATATGAATTCAATTTTTCGTAGCGTTCGTAAAGCGCTGCCTTACGGCCGGAATGACAAAATAGTGTATTTCGTAACGAGTGCAAAAAAGTGTTTTTTGGCGAGTGGGAGGTCTATATCACGAGCCGAAGGCGAATGATATAATCCCACGAGCTAAAAAACATTTTTTCACGAGTTACGAACAATATTTTTCATCACAATGTGGCGGAAATTGGACTTTTAGGCACGCGGAGCGTGCCGAAAAGTTCACTTTTCGTCACAGCGTGATGAAATAGTACATTACATGCCCGAGTCTTCATCCTCGCCTTCGGCTCGGAAGGCAATCTTGCACGTGGGGGACGGTGATCTGTTTCCCATGGCGAGGTGTGTATATTAATTTTCAGGTCCCGTGACACGAAATAGTATATTTCGTAACGAGTGCAAAAAAGTGTTTTTTGGCGAGTGGGAGGTTTATATCACGAGCCGAAGGCGAGTGATATAATCCCACGAGCTAAAAAACATTTTTTCACGAGTTACGAACAATATTTTTCATCACAATGTGGCGGAAATTGGACTTTTAGGCACGCGGAGCGTGCCGGAAAGTTCACTTCTCGTCACAGCGTGATGAAATAGTACATTACATGCCCGAGTCTTCATCCTCGCCTTCGGCTCGGAAGGCAATCTTGCACGTGGGGGACGGTGATCTGTTTCCCATGGCGAGGTGTGTATATTAATTTTCAGGTCCCGTGACACGAAATAGTATATTTCGTAACGAGTGCAAAAAAGTGTTTTTTGGCGAGTGGGAGGTTTATATCACGAGCCGAAGGCGAGTGATATAATTCCACGAGCTAAAAAACATTTTTTCACGAGTTACGAACAATATTTTTCATCACAATGAGGCGGAAAGTTCACTTTTCGCCACAGCGTGATGAAAAATATCATTCGACATACCCCGGCCTTCGGCTCGGCTGCCAACTCATATTCGCCAGAAAAGTTTTTTTCGGCCTAATGACGAAACATACTATTTCTACCTTATATATATTACAGAACTCGGTTGCGATATGTCCTGGGCTGAAATTCTGTGTGTTTAGGGAACCTTAAAAACCTTAAATTTCAACGAAACAGAGCCGCGCATCCAGATTCCCTGCATTACTGATCGGGAAGCATGGCTCTGATTGCTTGAAATTTAAGGTTTTTAGGGTACCCTAAACGCGCAGAATTCCAGCTCTCACGGCCTAGTGTCGAGATATACTACAGTGATGTACCAAATGATGGTAACTCATAGAGTATTGTCAGTAACTTAGAGAAGTTATCAGCTAAGTTTTTCGCTTTCTTTACCTTCCGCAAGTACTTTACCACTACAATAACAATTTACGTGAAAAAAATCGTCGGTAGATGGCGCTCGTCATGTGGAAAGCATGCTCTACCATCTCCGACAGCATTTACCTTTCAAAAGGACGTATTACATACGATGAAATCCCTTCATTCTTCAAAGGGTAACAGAATGCCGCTATTTTTGCAAATTTTTGAACAAATTTCCTGTTAAAAGTTATCCACATCTTTACAATTCGATGCGCATTAATCTACAAGAGGCCATGATGAAGGTCAATGTGCTTTGGAAAGGAAATTTGTTTGAAAAGTTCGATGAAACTGTGGCCTTCTGTTACCCCTTAAGGATAATCAGACGAGAAGTAAAAAAATGCAGCCAATTTTATGAAGTTTTTTTCACACATTATTGAATCCACTTAGACACTCTTGGCAAAATTGAAGAAATCCCAGAAGTTGGGCAACAACAAAAATGATTTTTAAAATTGCTGCTTATACATGAGGTTAAATGGGTCATCGATAATTTCAGTATTTTTTCCACATTGCCGACTGGTTATCGATGCTCCCTTTAAACTCATGTATAAGCAGCAACTTTAAAGATCATTTTTGTTGTTGGCCCACTTCTGGGGTTTCTCAAATTTTGCAAGAGATTACTAAATGGATTAAACAAAATGTGAAAAAAAATTCATGAAATTGGCTGCATTTTTTTAATGTCCTACTCCTCGCCCAATTATCCTTAAGGATAATCAGGAGAGAACTAGGATATTCGAAAAATAGAGTCAATTTCATGAATTTTTTTTACATATTGTTCATTTCATTTAGGAACCCCTTGCAAAATTTCAGAAACCCCAGGTTCAGGACAACAACAAAAATGAATTCTAAAGTTGCTACGTATACATGAGGTTAATGGGAGCATCGATAACTCGTACATTTTCCCTACATTATCGACCAGTCGGCAACGTGGAAAAAATACTGAAATTATCGATGACCCATTTAACCGCATATACAGGCAGCAACTTTGAAATTCATTTTTGTTATTGTTCTGAACCTGGGGTTTCTGAAACTTGGCAAGGGGTGCCTGAATGAAGTAAATAATATGTGAAAAAAAGTTTCACAAAATTGGCTGCATTTTTCGAACATTCTAGTCCTCGGTTAAGTATCGTTAAGTCATGTGATGGTTTACATTAACTCGTCGTCTGCCAAAATTGTAATCTCTATTTTCAAATTATCGTAAACTCTTGTTTCCCCTCATATCGATTTGTTCGAAGATCAACGCGTTCTCTGAAATGTAAATAGTACGATTTTTTCCTGAATCTTATGGGATTCGAATTTTGTTTCTCATCCTCTCAAGATTCCCAGAAATTGCAGTGTAAGTGTGGGTAGGCAATTCATTGTCTTGGAACCCCCATTTGTATAATTATAATGAGAGCCTACTATACACAATATACATGTTGAATTCTACAAAATGATAATGTACGATTCCAATAACACATTGTCCATTCGCAACTGCATATTGTTTAATTTAAACTTCAAGTGTGTGCAATTCAAGAAAATCGCAAAATGCATAATAATCATACTCAAATTATAGCTGTTGAATTGCACACGTAAAATTAAATGTTGACAACACTGTTAGAAAAAAAATGAAATTTCATGGCCAGTTGATTACTAATTTTCAGTGGCACTGAATACGATTTAGGGAAAAAAATCATGAAATTTCAGGTTTCATTGAAAATTTAGTCAAATTCCAGAATTTTAAACAGCATAAAAACGAGAATTCCTTAATTTATTTGAATTTCCAATCTAATATGAATTTTCAGTGTCAAATTACATTGAATTTTCAGTGAAATCTCAAATTTTATGATTTTTCCCCCCTAAATCGCATTCAGTGTCACTGTCCTGAAAATTCCAGAATATATTTACCGCAATATTCTAGTTTTCTGTTTATTTTCAGGGAAAAATAGAACAGAAATTTACAGTTCTCCTTGATTTTTCCACGAAATTCCGATTTTTTATTGACTCAATTCCTTGAAATTTCAGTGGCAATTAAATTGAATAAAAATTTACAAAAAGTTTACCGCAAATTTCAAAGAAAAATTTTTAGCAGTGAAAATTCAACTATACAATGTGGAATTCAAATTGCATAATGTGTAATTAGGTTGGTTAGATCTAGTAGAATTCAATATGTATATCGTGTAGTTCAAATGTCAGGATTACAATCTTTGTAGACAACATGGAAAAAAATACAGGAAGCAATACTGTGTGTAGTACGGTAAAATAGATTCATGTCGAAGGACCCGGAAAAATGCAAGTTTCAGCACCGGAAATTTTGCTGCGAAGGACAGTACGCAATAAATTTGAAGAAGAGAAAAATTCCTATATTCTGCAGCTAAATTTTTAGTATTGGGACCTGAATTTTTTCGAATCCGTCAAAATGAACCCAATTTACCCTGCTGCAGAGTAATTTTTCCAGTATTTTTTTTGTCCAGATCTTAATACAAAACATCAATGTGTTAAAAAATGAAGAGACTCCGTTATGTGCAATACCCTAGCTGCTAATCTGATTAAGGGAATGAGTAATGCCTTCTTACTGGCGTTTTTTGGCAACTTTGGTTGTGTTAATGACCAACTTCATAACTCCGTCTCTTCAATGTTGAATTCAAACTAAACCTTCAAATAGACAAGCGACTTATATCATTCAAAGTAAAAACGACTGAAAAATTTATACAATTTGATGTGGATTCCAGGCAGTGGATATGCAGCCTTTCCGTGATCAGAGCATGAATTTTGCAAAAAACTAAGGTTCTATTATTTGTTTTATGCGCCTACAATTTGTAATTTTCTGCCAGAAGCGGCGCAATCGGCGGTAGGCAGCTAGCGTATATTTCGTTTAATGGAGAAAATGCTATATCGTTGTTGAAGTTTGAAAAAAAAACAGACAACATGAAGGGCAATTAATGAAAACAAATAATCAAGTTGTGAAGAAATCTCACGACTAGTAAGATAAATATATATTTCAATCATTCTCATCAATATACAAATTTTCCGCCATCATCATAGAACTACTTAAACTCGATTCAATGACTTAACCCAAGACTTACATTCATAAATCATAACTCCGTATCACGAATGCATTGCGAGTTTGGTATCATAGGGCATCGTATTCCACAGACAACTGTATCGTAAAACTACCCGGACATATAAAACATTCATTTTTATCGCCATTGAACGAGCATGAGCCAAGCGTCGCACGTTGGCTTACAAACAAAAACGGCTCTTATAAAAATAATTGCATGCCATAGCGCAGATACATCCATTTCTGAATTCGAAATAATAGAAAACCAGGCACTTGGAGAAACATTCACACTCGTTCCAAATACTAGAACCCAACTGAGAAATACCCATTTCCAGTGTCATCATGATTCTACAAGAACAATTGTTGGAGTGGAAACGACACCGAGTGAAAGATTGTCATCTCCTCTCTCGTTAGGCTTTCTTGTCATAAAACCCTCGAAATTATGAAAACATCAAAACGACGTTAGCAACACTGGTCCTTATCTCGCTGACCTCCTTCTCACGTTCTTCACAGAGGTGTCAGAGAAACAGAGGCTCTCGTCATGCGCAATTCTTCTCAAGAATTGCATTAAAAGTCTTCGCCCACATTGAAATTTAAATTGTCACTCGACATTGATGTTAATTTTTTTTTTCAACTCGACAAAATATGCAATCCACTGAGTACCGCCCAAAGAGTCCACCGCATTTGAATAACTCATTCTCACACCAAGCCACACACTCTATCCAAACATTTACGCAGAAGGAAAAAAAACTCATTATCAGCCACAAGACCTCTATTTACAGAATGTATATAAAACGTGGAAAGAAAGTGTGACTTTAAAAATCGAGAGGACGTGGGTATTACGCGGTCCGCCGAGTGAGTTTGTATAATTTAAACATTGAGAATGAAAAAATATAATCACTGCATTACCATTGGCCATGTATCGTACCATAAAATTCTTTTTCACGCTTTTTAATTGCACACTCGGGGTCCCGAATAACCAGGCCTCTTGTCCATTCCGCATATCTGTTCCAATTATCACTGTTTGGAATTTATTCAGTAAATCCCTCAGATACAACGAACCGTTAAAAATGAAAGGACATGTGTATAATACACTGGCCACTTTAATCGAAATGTATTCATCGATTTAATGAAGAGCAAAAATAATTAAAACCGAAAAAACTGCATTCATTTGTCAAACATGCATGAACAATATTTCACATATTTGCACATGGTATTTTACACGTTGGAGAACACGCTCGATATTGGCTGCTATATCGAATTTTTATCGCAAAAATGTTTCAAGTCCCACCCGGCAGCATCGATGACCCCATTCCGATACCCAAATACATTGGAAGGGGGTTGAAATACGATTAAAAAAGTCACTGGGGCCAGAATCAAACGCAGATCACGAGTGTCACTCTTCTTTTTACATACTGGAATCCAGTGATATTATTCTCGTTTACCTCGTATCATAGAAGGGAAATAAAAGACCGAAAATTTCAAGAATTTACATCAGCTACGAGTATCCGGAGAGGGAAAAATTCAAAAAAATTTCTGGTCGAATCGTGGGATATTTCGGCAAACAAAAAAAAGTGACATGACCAAAAATTGAAATTTCATGGACACATGTCTAGATATATTCAGGACAGCGACACTGAATTTAATTGAGAGGAAAAAACCAATCATGAAATTTCACATTTAACTGAAAATTTAATGGAATTCCATATTTTTGAGTAGCAGGATGGTGAGAGTTTCCCAATGTACTTGAATTGTTTATCACAATATGAATCACAGTACGATATTACACTGAACTATTAATTAATCGAAAATTCAAGAATATATTCAACTGAAATTTACAGTTTTCATGGATTTTACATGAAACTCTTAATTACAAATTATGAATTTAAGTGAAACCATAATGTGATAAAAATTTCCAACAAGTGCACCAGACATTTTAGCCAAAAATTTGTAAACAGTGGATGTGGAGTATATTAATTATGTAGCATATTATACTGATTCAGTAACTAATTTTCTGTTACTAATCGACTATGTTATAGTAAGTGGGAGGATAGAAGCTTTAAGAAACGATATACGAAATTTGTATTCACTTTTCCTCATTATGGCTGATATCCCACGTTCATAATTATCCATTTCAAAATTAAAAGCAATTTTCACGAGAATTTTTCCCTAAAAATTCATCTCCGTGTGATAAACTTTCCTCTATTTCAAGAGCCTATTTCACCAGAACAGAATAAATAGAACAATGACGTTGAAGCTGTGACACACAACGGAAGGAAGAAAAAGCCCACTGGTAAGAAGCGCAACGAGCAATGTATAACATCGAAAAAATTTACGGAAGAGCGTAAGTTTGTATCCCTATCTACAGTGTGCAGCGGCAAGTTAAGGACAACGTAGCGTTAAATCGTCGTCCAAGGAGTGAAGAATAACAAATGTCCCTCGCTCCCCCCTTGAACACATCATGTTCTCCAATGTGACACACAATTACTTACATCCGGGCTGAGGCTGATGTGAAGTGAACTTTCATTTCAGTGATTTTGCATTTCTCGGTCAAGATTTTGAAATTTATTCGACGGCATTAATTCCTGCGATTGATTGCTTTTTTATCTGCGATTGATTTGGCATTCAATGGAACTCGTCGATAAGCAATTTTCGATATTGACGCACAGTGGAAACCACAGTGCAATCGATTTCATCCAATGCCAAAAGTTGAACCTCAAACATTTCCACAAAAAACTGTTTCTCTTGTTTTCTGAATCAATTACAGATGAGCGAGTACCTCAACCGCGGCCTGCACGGGTGGTGTTTGATCACCACTGAGTATCACTGGCTCAGACTCAGTTTGTACAATTCTAACGAGATTAGCGTCCTTCTTGGACGGCGCCAGTGTTGCATTTGGAGTGACATTAGCACGACCACAGTAACTCGGTGGTCGGCTTTCACGTGTTGTACACGGTGCTATTATACTCGCTGTATTAGATCTGTAGGTAGGTGGTGGTGACGACGTTGGTTGGAGTCTGTCCAGCAGCAAAAGCCGGAGCCTGTACTCTTGCATGCTCGCCTGTTAAAGTAAACATCACTCATTTTTTTTAATATATCAATGGATAATCGCATTTTTTATGAATAAATTTTGTTCTTGTTGCTAACAAATTGGCAATTCACTGCCGAATGGATTCTCTATTTTTGGTATTTTTATTTTATTCTCTTATCCATGCTATGACTAAGACTACTGTTCATTTAAATTTCTAATATTATATCAATATAGGTTTGATATACGAAAATTGATTATGTCATCTCTTGAATTAATTAAAGAAACATGAAAAGTATTTTTTTTAGCTATAATTTAATTGATGTTGCTGACGATTTTTCAGTAAAGGTGTGCAAATAATGAATGAATTGAATGTGAAATTCAATTCGAAATTCGAATTGAAGATTCCAATTTTTTGACTATTCAAATAATACAAAAATTCTAATGAATCAAATTAGAAAAATTTCCTTCTCTTTTCTTTAAATGACAGAGAATCGGGGAGGGTAGAGCAAAATGGACCCCCAATTTTTTTCTTCTTATGATAACTTAATTTACCATTGATGATGAATCCATCATGAGTATGAAAAATTCCCTTGGAATAAAAAAAACAGAAGTGTACAGAAAAAAAATTCAACCATGCATTTTTCTTAAACTATGACAGTTTCGTAAATTCTAAAAAAAAATGTAGCAAATTCATCACTGATCAGTCGATTAATCGATCGTTTAAAAAATCTCAACTTCAATTTTTTCGTTGAAAATTTCCCTGTTTTCAGAAAACGTTTCTACTAATCTTAATTATACTTTTGAAAAATGTTCATTCAATTAGTTCATGTATCTAGATTTCCAACGAAAAACAGGAAATTTGAGCAATAAAATTTAAAATAAAATGGATATAAATCATTGCCCAACTTCCGATATGGTTCAAAGCACCTATTTTAATAATGAGAATGCCGGACCGAAAAATTAAGAAAAATAAACTTGACGTAATCGATAAAATTCAAATTTTTCAATTTTTTATTTGTCCAAAAATTCATCATTGCCGACATGTAAGGGTTGAAAAACGAATTTCACTCATAACATAACAATTTCAATCATAATAATTTTTCAAAAGTGACGGAAACAAGCACATTTTGGTGCTTAAAAATCGAAATCGGTCGATTAGAACACGAGTTGTGTGGAAAAACCGGAAAATCCCAAAAAATCATATCTTCCATAAGGGCTATAGAAAAAAGTTGAAAAAAAAATCAGACCTTGTCCAAAATCATCGTTTACTTTGAAGTGGGTGAGGAGCAGGGGTTGACTGATTTTTCATGGAAGAGGTATTCACCTCTTCGAATTATTACTTCGAATTATTACTTCCCATGCCATTCCGAGATATGCGCTCTTAATATTTAAATATTTTTTTACACTAAGAAATATGTTTTGTATAGAAAATTTTTGAAATATTTTTTTTCGAAACAATTCTCAACTTTTCCAAAAAAATAATAATAATGATTTTTAATTCCTCCTATCTAAAAACAGAGTTTTAAGAATAAAATCGTCAATTGTACAACATTTCCGAAACTTTTTTGAATGTTTTATTTTTTTATCAAAATGCTGAGACTTTTTTAAACAAAAAACTACAGTCCAATGAACGCGCTTTCAATGGGATGAGGTAAAGCCGAATGTTGAAAATCAACAATCGTAGATCCGAAAGCGTAAAAAATTCATTCATTATATGTGTCACATACAGCTTCAGAGAAACTTGAAAAATATCCTAATTGGGCGCGAGTTCAAGTCGTCTAATATCACAAGATTTCATTTTTTCTTTATTTTGCATTTTTTTCTTCGGTTTATTCCGCTGAGAGTGTGTCCATTTGAATGTAGTTTTTTCCTTTAAAAAAGTGTCAGCTTTTCGCCAAATGAATAAGAAATGCAAAAGAATTTGGGGAGCGTCGTGAAATCAACGGTTTCATCCTTAGAATTCCCTTTTAGGGGTAAAGATGATACGTCTGATCAGCTAAACGCAGAAGGCTCAATCAAAGATGAAGAAGAATTTTAGTTTCAACTGGTAAATAAGTTACGAAAGCGAGTTTTCAAATAAATTGATCTTGGAGACAGTTCCTGATCGGCGTTTTGCTTTATGAATGAGGTCGGAATTCAGGATTAGCATAAAATCATCTTATGATGATGAAAAATTCTAAGAGAATTAGAATTCAGAGAGAAAAAATTTCCGCTTCACCCAGCCGGGAATCGAACCCGGGTCTCCCAGATACGCGCCGGGCACTCTTACCGACTAAGCTACCGGGAACCACAGAAATTCACTCTCAAATTCACCTCAAACACCGCCTAACCTCCTTTAGGCATTAAAGATTTCTAAGATTTGACATTTTTCTGACAGCTAGGGGATTTCTACATTTCACTTTCTTCTCAATCACGTCGCGCTCTTTCTTCAATTTTCCCTTTCATATTTATTTTAACAGAATCAGCACCTCATTTCCGATCATTTGCCTGTTCATATAAATTTTCTTTTAATCATTTTGAGCGCTGTAATCAACATGATGAGATCTTGACGAGGAGAACACGATGTTAATTTTTATACTAGCATTCTTTCTGTGGGTGATAATGAATCTTTCCGATAAATTTGAAAAGAAAACTGACCGAGATTCCAAATGATCAGGTACACTGATAGAAATATAGACAGAATAGCACAAAACTAATTTCTTGCTTCAAATATCTCATCTCTTAAGGAGAAAACGCTTGGGATAAGAATGCCGCATAATGAGTCAGACCGGGCAAAAATCCTGTGAAATGTTCATGACTTGAAGACAAACACTTGGCGATAAAGTGACAATTTCTTGCCTCAAAAAATCATTCATTTCGCGTCAAAAAATGATAAAATTACTAAAAATACTGAAAGCTTCGATTCAGTGAATCATGGATCAGAGACTTTCATATTGAATGAATGCCGAATTTATACAGGGGAGAACCTTCCGATATTTCAAAAATACAGCCATCACTTGCTCACAATTGCAATGAGTTTGAAGGAAAGCAATAACATCTTTTTCTTCTCTCAAACTTGCTTTATTGCTTCAAGAATATTATCTAATTTCCAGAAAAAATATCATTTTTTCGCTCAGTATCATCCTCCTTTTGCCTGAAGAGTACCAATTTCTTGTCTGAATACTTCCATGAATTCATCGAATATGCATGCAATGTTCTCCATTCAAGAAATTATTTTTGTCATACTATGTCGATTTTTCTCTCAGTGTACTACGCCTGATCAGAAACTGTATCATGTACCTTACTATTATCATTATTTTTTCTTGAAATTTTTTTTTGACGGCCTTTTGAGTCCCTTTTTCGGGTCTCATTTCGGCACTCTATCCAACCCTATGCATGCGGCTGTGGATTCTATACTGTATCGTATTCGCACTCCTATAGAACATAGGAGTAGCATAGGAAACCACAGAAAACTCATGTCGGTACAGGCGATTACTCTATTAGCAACCTCCCGCTCGCCGGAGTCTTCCGTTGAAAAATTCGGTTCCACTAGGAATCGAACTCACAACCTTTCGCACACTAGACTTGCGTCTAGCCCACTCGGCCACCGACGTCGGTTTCTTGAAAAGTTGAGAATTGATCCAAAAAACCATGAAAAATTGAAGAATCATGAAACGAATGTGAACGAAATTACACTCAACATACCCAACATTACAGAAAATAATAAACGGATAATCAACCTGTCTGGCCAAACGACCCAATTATATTTACCTGGTAACTGGGTGGTGGTGTTCTGAACTGGAATTCCGGATAGATCATGGCCGCGTATGGATGCATCGGCCTCGCCGGTGGAATCCTTCCCGAGATCCCTGTGAAACCGAAGAAGCTGCCGCAATTTTCTCGACTGGTCACTCGCCATGCCACCGCACTCACAGTCACTAAAACCACTCCTATACCTGCAAAAGATAAATGCAGAATATATACCCAGTGGTTAGTAATTCCAAAGCCCTCAGTATGCGAAAATAAACCACGACACAGAAAAAAAAAATCTCGTGTGTGAATTTTTTTATCCACAAACTCCTCCCCGCCCCCCTATTTTCCCTATTTTTATTTTTATTATTATTCCTTTCTTTCTTTATTTTTCTTTGTACTCTTATTCGTGGATACTCGTTTAAAGTTAAAATCCCCGGGGGCTATATAGACTACGAGGACTGTTGAGAAGGAAAAGGGAGTATCCATAGTGGAAATATGCCGGCAGTTGTCGTTACTTCGGGGATAGAAGGCGAAATGTAAAAGCATTGAACGATGACGAGGAAGAGAAGTCTACCTCTCTCCTGTGCTTTCGTCAAGATACGTAAGCATTGTTCCTTGTGCAATAACAAGTACATATGTATCAGTAAAATGCTACGTTTTCAAATTGTGTATACGAGGGTAGAGCATTGCATTCAACGATAGCTTATTCGCCTTCGTCTGCCTATACTCGAGAGAGGTTTGCATTCAGGTCCTCGAACTCAGTTGCTGTATTCCCCTTACGTTGCCATTCCCTCCTTAATACCAGACCCCCTTCTCGCCACTGCTTCTCTCGCCCCCTCCCCGTGATCCCTTCCTCCCTCTCCCTCCACGCCGCCTATCCTGTGTTGAACAACGTCGATAGAACTCTCGAATGGACTGTAATGTATACAACAATGTATTTCAATCCCATTGAATCCCATTGGAGAACCCGTCAACCGTCTGTCGGCAACGGATAGCCACCACATGCCCCCCCCCCCCCCCCCTGGCTTGTTTCCTCTGCGAGTCTCCGCATCCATTCCTCACATATTGTATCAATTTGGGGGGCTCGGTGTGGGTGAGATCGAGTGTTCAATTTTGACTCTATTGTGCTATGACTCTACGGGTCGCAGGTTATGTCACTGGATTTGACGATTTTCAGCAAGTATGGTCGCAACTTCGTTGTGCTGGAGATAGGAAGATTAAATTTTGATTCAAACGAAGATTCGTAGGGATAGGACGAAGAAATTGTGATGTGATTCTTGATCAATAGGTCCGTTTGGTATTATTAACGATGTTTAGCCATTGTCGGTAAAAGTGTTTTTTTTTCATGGTTAAGGAAAATTCCGTAATTTTTTCGGCTGACAGCAGAACATATAAAACTAACTTTTCTAACGTTAAAAAAAATTAATCGCAATAGTCTCGGCAGAAATGAATAAACTAATTTTTCCCGATACACGGGCTGTTATGAAATTTATGTTCAAATTGATAATTCGCCCACTAAAAGACTCTAAAAATAGAATTAAAAATAGAAGGTAATGTGTAAAATCATACTGAATTCAATGGCCAGAGAAAAATCTGGGGTACCAGGGCAAAAAGAGGAAATATTTGAATGATTCGATCCCATATAAGCGCAGGTTAGCGCATGCATTTGGTGCATTTTGTCTATTTCATTTCTAAATAATGAACATGCGTTGGTGGATTGAAATTTGTATAAAAATGAAGGGAATATCTTCATCTCTCAGTTTAAAAAATCCATTTTTTAAGTACTTACGATTTTGCATAAACATTCTTAATAGTGAAAGTTCGTCGAATATAGCGAGGAATATAGTATAGGCATTTATGGATAAAGGGGAAACATCCATGAAATAACCAAATAATCTGGGCGATTCAAATTTGCTGTAACAGAAAAATCATTTCTACCCCAACGTCAACACTAGATTGACTCCTTGGGTATCTTTTGAAAAGAAAGTATTTATCGCTCTCACTTAAATTGTAAAATTGAAACAATATTCATACTAATGTCTTCATCTTAACTAGGGATTTAAAATGACGGTAGTTTTTGACATGCGTCAAGTCAGTTGTAAATTTTCCGTTTTCGGACCATTTTTGACTTGACGCATATCTCGTGATGCAAACTGACCGGTCAACTTATCCAATCGTCAGTAATTTTTCTCATTGTCATTTATGCTGAAAAATCGTCTATTTACATGTAACCTGACCGTCATTTTTGTACTCGGTCATTTTTATTTCACTTTTTTCATGAATTTTTTCAGAAATTCGAATAAAATTATGAATAACGCCGAAACGGAAATCGAAAATTTAGTGAATATTACCTTAGTATGGAGATGCCAAAAAATCAGAAAAGTTTCGTAGAATTTTTTTATTTATTATTATCATAGAATCTATAAAGTTCAGTTCTAGTAAAACAGCCGTATAAAATTTTTCATTGCATAAATGATTTCGTAAATCTGCTCTTTTAACAACTAATTAAAGAACTCTCTCAAGCATATGGGGCCCAAAGTAGGCTATCTCTTACTAAAATTTGGAATTTCCTTTGGAGTTCTGGGGTCCAAGGCTCAGTCTGGGAGCCGAAGTTCAAAGTAATACGGTAACATGATGAATGTTGCGAATGTGAAACTAATTAGGAGGAGAAAAATCGCCTGGCTCTATCTAGATGTAAAATGACCGTCAAGATGCTTTTTTGTCATTTTTGTGATGCGGAATACCGTCATTTTTTTCGGACCACAGATGGTCAGTAATTGGCCTTCGTGTAATTTACGTGTAAAATGACGGTAAACTGACCGGTCAGCTTTATCCGTTACATCCCTAATCTTAACCCTAGTCTGGTCACCAAACGCGACCCTGCGATTTGTCACCTCCGCGCGGATTCCTCGCCGTTTTATCCAGACTTTAGCGTTGCCGAATTCACTCTACACTGCCCGGACGCGTCTAACGAGTTTCCGGCAACGTCACGTCATGGGCAATTTCATTTCACATGGGAAAAAATAATTCATCTGTCCGAAATAATTTGTTTTTTTAGGAATTTTTGAAAATATGTCGTTCTAAAAACTACTATAGTTTTTTAGAAACTTCTGTTGGATTTTCGGGATTTCCCCGAGACCAAAATTCACTCTCCCAAAGTTATTTTATGTTAAGGAAAGGTTTATTGCTTAATATTGCTATGGGGTCCTCCTTGAGATTGTAAAATGGGGAAAAGTCCTTTCGGGAGTTTTACTGATGGGTTTTTCCCAAATGTGGGTTTTTCCCGCAAGTACATCTGGCGACCAGGCGGGATCAAGAAGGAAAGACCGAGCGTTGCTTCAGGGGGTGGAAATTATATTGCCCTCCTAGGTCTACATTAACCCTGGGCCTCACTAGCAACTATCTTTAGTCTCTTGTAGATATTCATACTGTGAAGTGCCTCTTGACTGTGTAGAGTCTTTGAGATTTTTCAATTAAAGTGTTCATATAGACAAAAGGTGTTTCTTATTTTAAACTCCATAATCTAATAGGTTATGGGCCCAGGATAACACGAAGTGTGTGTGTGTGTGTGAAATTAATTAATAAGCAGTGATTCAATAGTAGAAAATTAAAATTAAAGAAAATGGATAAATTGAATCGCAACATTAAACCGTTTAATGGGGAACGATACAACATATGGAAAACGCGGATTGAGTATTTATTGACGGAATTAGGAGTAATTAAAGTACTCGAAACGGAGCCCCCAAAAACCGGAAAAGATGAGTGGCAGAAAGCTGAAAATACTGCAAAAGGTGCTATAGTGGCAAACTTAGCAGACTCCTTTTTACATTTTGCTAAAAAGGAGGAAACGGCTAAAGAAATGATGGAAAGACTCGATGCTACGTATGCACGAAAAAGTTTAGCGTCTGAAATGGCAATCAGGAAGAAAATGCTCACTTTTAAGTTGAAGGGTGATACCACCCTGATGAAGCATTTTTCCGAGCTGGACGAATTATTCGAAGAATTCGTGGCTGCTGGAGGTACTTTAAGCGAGAAAGATAAAGTAGCCCATGTGCTACTGACCTTACCGAGCTCATACGACAACATAGTGACTGCCATTGAACAATTGTCACCAGATCTCCTAACTCTCGCAGATATAAAATCCAAATTACTAGACTTCGAAACAAAAAGGCGTCAGGAGCTGCAAGACACAAGTGCTAAAGTGTTGAATGTGGAAGTGCACAGTGGAAAACAACATACTTCAAGGCCACATAATTATATCCAAAATAAAATGAAGAATCCAAGGAAATTTGTGACATGCCACAACTGTGGCAAGCGAGGACATGTGATGGCCAATTGTTTCTTCAGAAGACACACCAAACCGAGACTAAGTGACAAGAAGAGATCAACCGCTCACACAGCAGAAGCAGAAGAGCCAAGGGAAGCCAATGCAATTTCGAGTTTCGCATTCATGGCAGGAGAACATTTGCCTGAAGTACAATTAAATATCTTTCATCCTGGACTCCGGAGCAACTGATCACATCATAAATAGAGCGGATTTAGCGACGGATTTCAAATAATTAGCTAGACCAATAAAAATCGCAGTGGCTAAAAATAATCAGTTCATCACGGCGACAAAGCAGGGGAACCTGAAGGTGATCAGCAATCAGGGCATTAACGGAACGCTGGAGGACGTCCTATACTGCCCAGAGCTACCAAACAATTTGCTATCCGTTGCCAAAATGCAAGCAGCGGGATATTCGATCATATTTGATCAAAATGGCGTCAGGGTGATGAAAGAGGGTAAGATGGTCATATGTGGTGAGTCAAATCGAAACTTAATTACTATTAATTTCGGGATAAATTTAAAAGCAGTCAACGCCGCGAGTAGGAAAACAAATTATCAATTGTGGCATCAACGATTAGGACACATTGGAAAGCAAAAATTCCTAGAATTAAAATCGAAAGGCATGTTCCAAGATATCGCGAGCTTAGATTCAGTAATACCGGATGAGAAGCTTTGCGAAGCATGCGTAAAAGGGAAACAGTCGAGATTGCCGTTTAATAAAGAAAAGAATAGAGAACATGTCAAAAGGCCGTTGTTTATAGTCCACTCAGATGTCGCGGGGCCTATCACTCCTCCTACGGTGAACGAAAAGAATTATTTTGTTTTGTTTATCGATCAATATACTCATTATTGCGTTTCATATTTAATTAAATATAA